CAACCAACTAATCTTAACCTCGCCTTAAGAGTTCGACTACTACATATCGCCGAGACTGGCCGTTGGGATCCATATCACGAAGCCTAATTTATGCGTCTGTAGCGGTAAATAATTCCCCAAAATTATTGACCACAGCAATCACTCATTGGATGCTGACCACCACTGTTTAAGTCGACTTGTTTAGCTGAAGGCTTCCGGTCAAGCATCCCCGCCATTTGGTACCTCGTCGTGTCACGTGCACGATCACTAGCTAGCTAAGCGTTCGTCTAACGGCTGGTTTTGGTTCCTAAATACATCTCTTCGTTTGGACGACCAATTATTGGCTTTTGCTTTGTCTTTGGTACGCGAGAATAAATTAATTAGAAGTTGTTGAACGAGATATCACGTCAAACCTTTAATATCTCTCAACCACTAAACTGGTGAGCCCAACCGCGAACTTCATCTACGATAATTACTCAGATAATCCCGGTGAGTTCGTTCCATTTTGTATTTGTTCTTGTACCATATATTATTCGATATAATTTTCGTCATGAGTGATCTTAGTCCCAAGGTCATCCGTATCCGCTCAACTCCTAAAACCATTCAGCTCGTACCATACTGGCCAGATAATGCTGAAACGTGGTTTCTGCTAGCTGAAGCAGATTTTTGTGAGCATGGGATAACTGATCAACGTTCACAGTTACTTGCAGTTATTCACGCCCTACCGCGGGAATTCAGCAAGTACGTAACATCACAGATGTTGAGTCCCGAGGTAAGTAACTCGTACGAGTTGCTGAAAGCATCCCTCCTCAGGAGAAACGCTCTCACGGACAGACAACGTCTAGATGAATTATTTCGCAACATCGAGTTAGGAGATCAGTCAGCCGTGAGCATGCTGACAAGAATGAAACAAGTCGTCGGCCAAAGTCAGTTCGACGAAGGACTGTTTAGAGAACTCTTCTTAACCAAGTTGCCACAATCTGTACAGACCGTACTTGTGACACTTGAGGGTACTGTAATAGAGAACTTAGCTATTACTGCAGATAAGATCCTAGAAATAACTAAACGGTCTGTCCCCGAAATATGCTCAATGACTAAGCAGACTTCGAGTGAGGATCCTGCAATGACAGAGTTATGCAACTCCCTTCAGCAGATGTTTAGGTCAAACACGCATTCTAAATCCTCCAACCGTCGTCCTAAATCTCCTCAACGCAGGAACTCGCGTGGTCGATCTAAGTCCAAACCACGTTCACTGAAAAACCCTGACTGGTGCTGGTACCACAACACCTATGGCCAAGAAGCGAAGTGTTGCCGTAAGCCTTGTAACTTCGGAAATGTCTCAAAGTCTGCGGGAAACTATCCCGCCGGCACGCGTTAGCGGCAACCGTCGCCGGTGGCACTAGCCGCCTACTTTACATCCATGATGTGATAAGCCAGACTCGATACTTAGTCGACACAGGCGCCGAAGTCAGCGTCCTTCCTGCTACAGCAGCAGATCGACAGAAGGAACCTACCTTCAACTTACAGGCTGCAAATGGAAAACCAATCGCAACCTTTGGTAGGAAATACGTCTATCTGAACGTAGGTTTACGCAAACCTATTCGGTGGATTTTCCTTCTCGCTGACGTTACAATGCCCATCATTGGCACGGACCTACTTAATCATCATGATTTACTCGTAGACGTCCGCCGAAAACGACTGATTGACAATACTACTAGTCTGTCTATCAAAGGCATCACCTACATAGGCCCTAGCTTGTCACCCGTTAAGATAAAGGCAATTCTTGATCCAACTTTTCAACCTATCGTTGACAAGTATCCGGAACTTAACTGCCCGTCGAACGACCTACCGTGCATAACCAGCAATGTTATGCACCACATCATTACCACAGGACAACCTGTGACATCTAAAGCACGACGATTAGCTCCTGACAAACTGAGAATCGCCAGGAATGAATTTGACCATATGCTTAGCCTTGGCATCATTCGACCTTCGAATAGCCCATGGGCATCCCCACTTCATATGGTTCCGAAAAAGGATAGCAACGATTGGCGACCCACCGGTGATTACCGGCGAGTGAATGCCAAAACAACCCCTGATTGCTACCCGTTGCCTCATATACACGACTTGACGGCAACCTTATCCGGCGCGACTATATTCTCCAAAATCGACTTGGTTAAAGCGTATAACCAAATCCCGATGGCAACAGAAGATATCCCGAAAACGGCTATCATTACGCCTTTCGGACTTTTTGAATTTCTACGTATGCCATTCGGTCTTCGGAATGCAGCCCAAACATTCCAACGCTTCATTGACGAAGTATTTCGCGGTCTCGACTTTGTATACGCATACTTAGACGACTGCCTCATTGCCAGTCCAGACAAGGAAACTCACCTTAGGCACTTGGACTTGGCATTTGACAGGTTACGCCAACATGGTGTTACCATTAATATTCAAAAGTGTCAAATCGGTGTTGACTCACTCGACTTCCTGGGTCACACTATTGACTGCAAGGGCATTCGCCCACTGGCTACTAAGGTTGAGCCTCCTAAGAAAAACCGTTCTGGACGCACCGTAAGGTTCCCAGAATATCTGCACACTTATTTGACTTAACGAAGTCGTGTGATTCACGCAACTCACTCGTTCGTGGTACTAACTATTTTTTTTTGACGTAAAAATTTTTTTTATATACAGTACCACCGAAAACAAAAAAATGTTTTTTCTCAACAGTTCATGTAACATACACAAAAAAATTAATTAGATGTATTTTTTTTCGATGTTCTGAACTTAGCATTATTTTACTGTATAGTAAATGCACATAATTTTTTTTAACCAAAAAGGTCATTTCGTACATTTTCCTCGACATGGTTCTTAGCGTTCTTGTTTTCTTTTCCAGGTGCGACGGGCACTGGACGGGAAACAAACGAAGCACGGAATCCAACGAACAACACCAGGAAGCTATGTACAAACACCCCATTAGCATAGGCAGACAAACCAGTAGGCATAAGACCAAGCCGCTCGGAAGATTTTTTTCACCCGAAAGGGAACCATCGAGTTTTTTTTACTTCCGGCTGGTTCTGTCTTAGGGTCCTCACGACCCCACTAGGGGGGAGTGAGCTGTAGCGGTAAATAATTCCCCAAAATTATTGACCACAGCAATCACTCATTGGATGCTGACCACCACTGTTTAAGTCGACTTGTTTAGCTGAAGGCTTCCGGTCAAGCATCCCCGCCATTTGGTACCTCGTCGTGTCACGTGCACGATCACTAGCTAGCTAAGCGTTCGTCTAACGGCTGGTTTTGGTTCCTAAATACATCTCTTCGTTTGGACGACCAATTATTGGCTTTTGCTTTGTCTTTGGTACGCGAGAATAAATTAATTAGAAGTTGTTGAACGAGATATCACGTCAAACCTTTTAATATCTCTCAACCTCTAAACGTCCAAATGAAGCTGGTTCAGACATTATCCTTACCTTGGTCATCTAGTTTCGAATGATCCTCAATTTTTGTGAAATTCTCCTAATTTTTGCTGATATTCTATTTACTGCTATATCTTCATTATTATTATTATAATTTAAGCATCTTTAAGGAACTGTAATTCCATTGTGATCTTACTTTACAAATCGATATTATTTGAAAAACACTAATATTGTTATTAACTACTAATCTAGAGTATTCTATTTATATCTATGTATCTACCAGTTTGACTGCAGCTGCCGAGCCAGTTACATCGGACGAACAATTAGCCAGGTTCACCATCGTATTTCCGAACATCATCCGGCATGGTTAAGCAAGGGACAAACAAGAGCTATTCGTAGCTCTATTTTAGCCCACCTTGTAGATAGTGAGCATAAGGTTGACGTTAATACGGCATTTAAAATTATTTATCGCATTCCTACTAATCTTAATTTTGCTTTTCGTGTTCGTCTTCTACATACAGCTGAAGCAATAGGAATCCACCTGAAGAAGCCAAACCTGTGTGTGTTCAGAAGAAATTTGTACAGCCACTTTCCTTACCTTGGCCATCGTTACATGATTGTATAAACCGGACTACTTCATCCCCCTCCCCCTAAAATATTTTTCTTTTTAAAAACCTATAAAAACTATAATTGTCCAAATTATTTTATTTTTCTGACTACTTCATCTTTAATTACGTGTTATCCTTGTAAAAATTAAAAATTATTTTATTCTTATGACCACTTCAACTTTATTTACAAATTGTCATTGTCCAAATTGTTTTATTTTCTTTAACAATCTGTTACGCAATCAACCTGTGCACACGCTTATTCCTTAATTGCTCTTCATTTTTCCTAAATTATGCATTATGCGATCCACGTGTTGTAACCATTTCCACCTTTTAATTACACATATTAATTTTTTTTCTTCGTTAATTACCACCCCATTGACATTTTGACACTGACTAATTATTGTTAACAAACATATCAGTGCCACTTGATTGGTAAATTGTTGTATATTGTATTATTTGGCGTTTTATAGAAATTAAAAGCTACACGTGCAAATTTGACAAACTTGCATTCAAACCGAATGAACAGAATTCAATAGAGAAAGTTATACAACTAATCGTAAGATCCACCTCGCTTTCGCTTGGAGTCTCTCATACGTATGTATAAATACACGACGATTCTGTTAACTGGCTTGAAACAAGAAGACGAAGAAGAAGAAGTGAACTTGACGAAAAATATCAAAATTTTGAAAAAAGTACAACTCTTGCACTTCAGACAAACGTTCACATAAACACAGCACACACACACATCCATAAATAAGACATGGCGTCAATTAGTATACATAAAGCGAATTATTGTTATCATTGTCATTTTGAAAAAAAGCCCTCAAATGCACACACCTTCTCTCCCCTACCTTTACCATGTAGGCTATATATATGCTAGTGAATACTACTCGGGAAATAAAAGAAATAGATTTGAAATTGTTTACATAGAGGATAAAATAATAATAATAATAATAGTGTTAATTATAATTATAACACTGAGGTAATTTAACAGCTATACAAAACTGCCAGATTTTAGAGCAGAAGTTTTAAAACACTCTTCGTTGTGTTCCTCCTCCTCTTCCGCATGAGGAATACATCCGCCGTCATTTTCATTCTCCTCTCCTTCCTTATTATTATTATCATTATTATTAGGTTCATTCATTGATGTTTTTATTTGTGTTCTACCCTTTATACTACTTATTATTTCAGTTTTGCTATTAGTAGTATAATCGACTACTGGTGTATGTAATGTACAATGTTTCAATAAATTTGGTGACTTTCTACTCATTGTCGACATTGTTTGACAGCGTTGACCAGGTGGTGTACAACTATGCGGATAGTGGTGTTGATGATTCTGTTGGCAAACTGTATTGATTAACGGTACATGAGAATGTTGGTGTTTATGATCAATGTAAGGTGAGGAATTTCGTGTCAATTGATTATTGTTACCATTATTATTGTTTAACTGATCGAAATTTATGGCGTTCATTAGAAAATGACAATTAGTCGGTGTCATATTCTTAGTAGTGCATTGATGATTATGTGTGTCGTGTAGACTAAGCGTCATATAATCGGATACAGAGATGATACCATTAGCACAGACAGCATAATTACGTGCTGGATGATTAGACTTCGAATCAGTCGTCTGGTTAGCTGTTGTCTCATGATCTGGAATATTTGTCAGCAGGAGTTTGTTATTATTATTATTATTACTATTATCATTACTATCATCAACGATAGCAGTAGTTCGCATAAGAGTATTATTATGCGTCTGGTCACCGTTATTAACAGGATCACTGGAAGCATTGCTACAACTCTGTCCAGATAATGATCCCATTTCAACAGAGTTGATGACAGGTGAGAACTTGTTCAACTGAGTATAATAAACACTCCCCTTAGGCTGAATTGTTTGATTTGGATAGGCAAACATTTTCTCATGAATGAATTTCTTCAGTGGATCTGTAGCATTGTAATCACTGTGATAACTTTCCCAGATATTTGATGATGGAATATGCATTGCCGCACTGTGCACCTCATACGGTGTATCTAGAATAATGTGAAAAAGGGTAAAAGAGAAAGGCGAGTTAAGCCGGCAAAAACGCGATGACTTTGCAAGAAATGTAGACAAAATTTACTATAGAAATATGTATGTAAAACTTGGGCACTGTGGTAGTAAGTAATTTTATATTAGTTTGTTTTTTAGATGCATAATCACACAAAAAGAAACAGTATTATTTACTGGATGACGTTTCGAACAAAATTTATTGTTCATAATCATGCAGTCAATTATGATCACACGACTTCGAAACTTGAGTTTTATAGTTTTACTTGTTCTCTCCTATTTGTCATCATTGGGGTAGTCGAATTTTCCAGATGTCTATCTGGACAGGTGTTGAATCATTCCTATTACACGTGTTGATTTGCAGTTGATTCGAGAAACAAAGCTTTTGTTGTATTGTTGTGTGTAATTGCATGTAGTGAGTGGTATAGCCGAACTATTCTCTAGATTTCTTATCTTATTTCGGTCAACTAACCTAGATTTTGCTAGGTTTTTATGTTCGGCTAGTCTGACTGACCGACCCCGTTCTACTACTTCGACCAATGTATTTCACGTGGCAATCATTGCAGACAGGGTATTAGATAAACTAAATTTTTTTGTTTTTAAGGCTCCAGAGTATTCTTTAACCGACAAAGCTTGTTTCTAATAGAGTTTGCGGGTTTGAATGCCAGCCACTTTTATTCCTGCCTTGTTAAGAATTCAGCGTAAGGTTTCCGAGGTTCCTTCTTTGTATGGAATTACTACTTATGATTTAGATTCATTATCGTTAGTGTTGTCATTATCTTGCACATGTCTGACATGCATGTCATCATTAATATAAGCATATAAGAGAAGATTTGAAACTTAATAATTACCCTGATGAATTAGTCAGGAAATATGTAGGGAAATGTAAAAATAAAATTAATATTAATAGTAGTGGTAGTGGTAATAATAATGATAATAATAATAATATTAATGATGACATGCATGTCAAACATGTGCAAGATAATGACAACACCAACGATAATGAATCTAAATCATCAGTAGTAATTCCATACAAAGAAGGAACCTCGGAAACCTTACGCTGAATTCTTAACAAGGCAGGAATAAAAGTGGCTGGCATTCAAACCAACCACAAACTCAATCAGAAACAAACTTTGTCGGTTAGTTGAAAGATCATGTGGAGTCAATAAACCAAAACAATTTGATTTATCTAATACCGTGTCTGCAATGACTGTCAGGTCAAATACATAAGTCACAGTAGTAGAACGGGGTCAGTCAGTCAGACTAGCCAAGCATAAATACCTAGATTAGATGACCCGAATAAGATAAGAAATCTACAGAATGCTTCAGCCATAGCATTGCATGCAGCCAAGTACAACCATACAATAGGCTGGATGGGATAGGATGACGGTTATAAAATCTAATGTCACAGGATGAATGCTTTGATCTCTTCCTCACATGACCTCCTCCAAGTCACCCTTGCACTGACGACCAACTCGTCGCTTGCCTTTCGGGTTCCACTCCAGCGATGGCCTGTCTAGTGATGTCACTTGATGGTTTCCTCAGAGTATGGCCAGCCAATCCATCTCCATTTCTTCCTGCCTATTTGTTTCACAATAGGTTCCTGATTGGTTCGCTCATTGCCAGAGATCCCTGTTGCTGATCGTTTCTGGCCATCTGATCTTGAGTATTGAGTGAAGACAACTGGTAATGAAGCTTTATTTATTGAATCAACTGAAAATGCGTGTAATAGGAATGTTTCTACACCTTCGCTAGACATCTGTATGATTCTACTGCCCCTACGACTAGCAGGAATGGATAATGAAAGCTATGAAACGGGAATTCCAAAGCTGTTTATTTACAAATGATCTAATTTAACTAATCGTGTCTAAAGACAATGAGATTAGAAAAACGCTACTAATACAAAGTGAAATGAGTAGGCTTACTTTTATTCTGATTAAATATGTACACTTTTGACGGGTTCATTGTTTCAACAATATCTTCTGGTATCTTTTCATTATTCTGAAATATGCACATAAATGAAGGAAATTAAACAACAAAAAAAACACGTCTGGATTATGCTTTTGCCACTTGATATGCATAAACTTGTTTATGAGTATCTGTATTTTTTAAAGTTGAAGTGAAGCAGTTTTATGATTGTATCCCTTGTCATCTGTGTATAAACCACATCTTCACTTCTAGTATTATCCAGGTTAAATAAGTATACAAAACTAACAAAAGAAACTATGCAACAATTAATTCCATTACGGATAAGATTTTATTTTGATAAAGTCTAACAACGTTGTTATACAGTAATATTTACTGATGCGGCCATTTTTTCGAGCACAAATTATTACTGCTCATAATCACATCAAGGTATATATCAAGGAATTATACTCTATCACAGTGCACAAGTTTTCCTCTCATATCACCAGTGATACACATGGTCTTCCTGCTAGGAAGCTTATCAACAAACTAACACGACTATGTCAAACAGAAGCAAGATTCATAAACCATCGGATTTTTAAGAGTCGATCTTTAATATGATTAGGAGCAATAAAATGTGCTCGAAACGTCATCAGTAAATATAGATGGCAGTGAAATAGAAACCAAGTCTGAAATTAAATACCTAGGCGTCATTCAGTCTGCTGATCTTTCCTGGTCTTCTCATATCTTGATGATTTCTAAGAAAACATTCGTCTTACCTTCTACATCAAGAAGTTAAGACATTCTGGTATAACCCAACCCTTACTCCTACAATTCGTTAACTCTTGCATCCTGCCTATTATTCTCTATTGTTCCCCTTAGTTTTTCCCGGGCTGGCTACTGAAGAAAGATTATACCTTATTACGCAGGATGTTAAAGGTTGTCAGCAGGGTAAGCAACGTGCCACTTAACCAGCTTGTTAATATTCTGGTCGACAAGCACATGGACTCATGTGAAAAATGTGCTAAATCCATTTTGTCTATCTCACATCACCCTCTTCATATACAACTTTCCCCTCGTATCTCATCAGGCAAAACCAGAAGCCCATAAAGAAAACTATATGCTCGCACTAGCAAGTACAAAACCTGAACCATACCCTACTTAGCTGGTGTTCTGTGCGATAAAGAAAGCATTAGGCGTGAAACTTATAACTTATTATTAAATAGTCAGTAGAACGACTGGACCTCGTCTTTCCAACTCATATCATATATAGGGACAAAGTTTTCTTTCTTTCTTTTACTTTTCTCTCTCTACTCTTTCTTTTTTTCTGTTATGTGCTGCTTTGTTTCTTTCTTCTGCCTACGTCAGTAAATATGCCAGCATCTACTTTTCTAACACCTCCAAACACTCTGTTCACTTTTGGTTTTGCTACCGACATGCCAATATGTTGTTGTCAAAACTGACTGAGACTATCCTTAATCTATGTAGAATTTTATTTATTGATAATGTACTAGCTGGATGCGGAATACTGTAGTAAAATGCTGAGAATTCCATTCTGTATCGCAATTATTGTTTTGGAATAAAGCAAATTATTATTGTTATTACCATATAACACTGTGAGACTTTATCAAAATAAATTTTAACCATAATGGAATTATACTCTACCATAGTGCACAAGTTTTATTCTTATATGCGACAATTACTCTATAGCGATGAAAACGCATAAAAACGCAATGCTCAACTTGGACACAACTCATAGAATTATGCCTTAAAACATACTTCCAATTCACAATTCAAATATTTGAACAAATAAAAGGAACACCAATGGGATCATCGCCCATATCAGGATTAATACCTGAGGCTGTTATGCAAATATTACAATTAATAGCTCTACCTATAATTAGACCAAAACTCTGGGTACGTTAAGTTGATTCACATTTGTAGTAATCAAAAGAAATGATTTGGAATATACCCATAAATTAATAAATAACATATCTGAAGATGTCGAATTCACCACGAGAGAAGAAGAATTAGACAGCAAAATCTCATTTTTAGATGTCTTAATCGGGAGAACCAATTCAGGAAATTTAGAAACACAAGTAAATAGAAAATCAACGCACACAAACAGATCAAATACTCAACTATCCTAACAATAACCCAATTACTCACAAAAGAAACTGTGTGAGTGTCTTTAAAATTGAATCAAAACACCAACAAGGAACCATCATCAAAGACCACAAGAAAATTCATCCTACCATACATGAGAAATATCGCTGAAATAACAGCTAGAATACTGAAACCGTTTGATACAGATATAGCACACAAGCCAGTCAAATCGCTTAATTCGATATTATGCAAACCGAAAGACACATTCAACAGAAAAAGGAGATAAATCTAATACCATTTACAAAATAAATTGTATGAATTGTAACAGACATTACATCAGCCAGAGTGGGCGTCCCCTTCGAATCAGAATCCAGGAACACAAATCACCCGCGAAAAGACACGATATGTATTCTTTCATATCAATCAAGGCATGTAGATAATTATGGACATCACTCTGATTGGGATAATGTCGAAATCTTAGACAGAGGAAACACCAAAAGTGCTGTCAGAGAATTCCTAGAAGCCTAGTATTCAAACGAATCAGCCAGCGATTAACAAACACGTTAATATAGACAAAATATGCCAACCAATAAAAAGTAAATCAGGTGATCAGAAAGTTTCAAATCCAAGTCAGTAGAAAATGATCAATACATATGTAAAGATGATTAACGGGAGACGCAATTATATCATTCACTTTCTCAACCAAACCGATATTGACACTGTGCATTAAAGATAGATTGCCCAAAATGGTGACATCAATGTGTGTATATAAATTCAACTGCTCCTGTGGAGCTAGTTATATAGGTCGTACCCAAAGGAATTTATCTTTACGCACTCGTGAACATATTCCTGTTTGGCTCGGGAAAAGAGCAACCAAATCATTAAATAGTGCAATTCTGTCTCATCTAGTGGATAGTGAACACAGTATCAAAGTAGATGAGTCATTTACAGTTGTGTATCGAGTACCGAACAATCTCCCCGAAGACACACGATTACGCCTCCTAGCCATAGCTGAGGCTTTAGAGATTAATAGAGAGAGACCAGGCCTATGGGTACAGAAAAAACTTATTCACTCTCTCTCCCTGTCTACCCTGACCCACTATAAGGTCTTCAGGATCATAATTTTTTCGTACTATCATTATCATTATTATTATTTTGTGATATCATGTCTTTATTATCCATTTCTCCACCCAGTTTATTTCACCTCATTGTTACCCTAACTTTTTGTCAACCTTTATGATTTTATACTAAGCCCACCAATTCTGTAGCATCTTATTGCAATCTACAATTTAGCCTCTTTATTTTATCATTAGACATTATCAATCAGCCCTCATATTCAATGCCTCCTTTGTTAATGTGTGTTTGTATGTATTTTTTAGTTACCGCATTTCTCTCACCCCAAGGATACCTGTATTCTGTTGACTATAAAACAGCACTATATCACCCAATTGTTTATTCACACTTCACATTTTTTCTGGCTGTACACCCTATACACATTTAAAATTGACCATGTTAACTAATGGACTATCACCTCAACTTACGCATGCACCCCAATACAGTTTCTGATATTATTTTCATTTGCCTTTATTGGCTATATGTACTCCATTATTCATGGATTTATAACTGTAGAGCCTGAAGAAGAAGTTATCGAAACCACAATTGTTCGCTCAAAATCTTGTTTTCATTCATGAAAAATTTAAATCATTTCACTTTATACTAAATATTGCGCTGAAGGGGGATGTTGTCCAGCAGGGGGCCGACGAAAGCTCCACAACTCAACCAACCAGCTCAGAGAACACTATTAGTTTGCAAATCATCCATCCACCTGAGCTACAAATCTTCTCTATAATTTCGAAACTAGTTACTATTGAAATTATTACTTATAGACTTACATAATCAAGAAAAATGATATCAACTACCAATTGATGACGTATAAGTAAGCCATCTCTCTTTTCGCGTAACACAATAACTGAAATTTCCCCTATTCACTACTTACTTACAATCTGCCTATTAAGCTACACAATAGCCTATACATATCAATCAAGGCATGTGGATAATTATGGACACCAATTTTATGATTGGGATGGTGTAGAAATTTTAGACAGATTAAACGCCAAAAGTGCCAGGGAATTCCTAGAAGCCTGGTACTCAAGTGAGTCAGCAATTAACAAACATATATGAATATAGACCAAATTTACCAGTTAATAAAAAGTAAATCACGTGACAAGAAAGTTCAGATTCCAAGTCAGTAAAAATGATCATTTAGAAAACAGAAGGATTGAGCGAAGAAATATATTAATTCAAATTATTTCAACCACATCGATTTAGATTACTACGAAGAGTGTAATGCACGCCTAGCCATCGTTTTCCTCGACGACTGACAGTTTTAGCTGACATAGAATCAGGTTAGGAAAGAGTTGGTGGTGATGGCCACACAAAAATTTGGAATTGGTTCTTGAAGTTTTTGGCATTTGGCTCGAGTCATATACAGGAAGTATACACTGCCTGATTGAGGTCCTCTGGATTCTAAAAACCAATGGCTCGAGATAATTGGTGATATGGCTGAAAATCGTTTTCAATGGCGGAGATGAATTCACTCTTTGTTTGTCCAAGTGACGAGTCTTTCTCCTTCACAGTTCCGCTTATCATATCTCTCTTTGTCAGCCTCTCTTTTGTCTTCCTTTGGGTGGTAAGTGGAGTGTAGCAAGTCGAACCTGTGCACTTCTTTGCAAAGTACTGTTTTGAAACCAATCAATTATTCAATTAGAGGTCGCTAGCATCATCACGCTCAACCTTCCCTTTGTTATGACGCTTACTAGTAAGTAGGAGAGTTTAAGAAGTTCATTCAGTAGGCGGGGGGGGGGAGTAAACGAAAGCCAAACTATGTGTATGGTGTAGTTGGAGGGTGTTCGACCACTGAACCACTGAAATATATTCACCAATAAACACACACACACACACATACTTAAAATAACCTACCATTGATGCGTTAGAATTAACTGAGAAACGCATAGCACTACACAGCTGTTTCCATTTCCTTCGTTGATCAATGCACTTTTTCTGGTCAGTACCATCTGTATCTAAAATAAAAAATTTTTTCAAAGTAAACAGAGCATAAATTGAATTTTAAATAACTTGAAAATCATTCCACATTTAAAGGCGGCCTATTTGAAACCTGGGCTATCAAAATACTTCATCATTTTATATTATGATTGTTTCCTTTAATTCCTAGAGGAACATAAGGCTTCAACCGCGTGTCTCCATTGCGTTCGGTTCTCTGCCAACTCTTTCACCCCGCTCCAAGTCTGCTAACATGCTGTCATCTCCTCTTCACACGACCTCCTTCGAATCACGCCTGGACAACCAACTGGTCACTTCTCTTTCGGGTTCTACTCGAAGGCTTGTCTAGTGATGCCTTTTGATGGCTTCCTCAGAGTATGGCCAGTCAATCTCCATTTCTTCCTGCCTATTTGTTGCACAATTGGTTTCTGCTGGGTTGGATGATCGTTGCTGATCGTTTCTAGCCGGCCATTTGATCTTGAGTGTTATTGAGCGAAGACAGCTGTTGATGAAGGTCTGTAGTTTGTTCTAAGTGACCTTCGTGACGCGCAGGCCAAGTCTCTGATCCGTATAGTAGCACTGACTTCACTTTGGAGTTGAAAATTCGGATCTTATTTTGGATGCTGAGTGGGGCCGTTGACCTCCACGCAGACTTGAAAGCTTGTCTTGCTTTTCCGATCGTTGTTTTGATATCCTCGTCATTTTATATTGCATACATAATTTTCTTTCTTCACTTGGTTTTAATCTGTTAAAATATCATCTCTAATGGGTAAAGTTAAGCTTTAAGCACCGGGAAGTACCAATGGACAGATGACCTTGATCGCACCAACCACATAGTGAAGGAGAGTTTTGCGTATAAAATACACATATGTTCATGAAAATAATGGATTAAAAGGCATGTGACTGTTATACAGAATACCTTTCGCTGACGTGTGACAAAAATATCGCTCAATTTTTGATTAGAGTATCCAGAGTGTAATTTAACCACTTTCTGTGCATGTTAAATCATCTAGTCTTCTAACCCTAACAAAAACCTTAATCTTTTTTCTAAGCCTAACGTGAAAATATCCCCAAACTAACTCGAACCAACCAACTTAATGTCTCCGTCCTTAGCCTAGAAATAAAACTTAATCTTTCACTATGTGGTGAGAGCTGTCAGCTAGCCAGAATTGGTAGACAGCAATTCACATCAACGTTTACGCCCCAAATGGGGGTCATGAGAAAAAAACACAAGAACAAAGACTAACTCAACAACCGCTAACAGCAGACTTTGCGTGGGAGGATGCGATTCGCAGATATATGGTCTGACCTTCAAAGAAACAGCCACAAACAGATGACAGGATAACTTTCAGCGAGAAAACAACCAATCAGAAGACGCTGTTTCTCTGCTAACAATAACATATAATAATGTACATAAAAATATATGGATATCTGTTGTTTTCCTCAATAAACGATCTGTTGTCTGGCCCTTGTCTTCTGTCGTTACAAGAAATCCGACTTTCCAGATATCCCATTTAATAACAGAACACTTCATTAAGCATATTTTATTCATGATTACAGTTTTTTTTGCTAGGTTTCACGAACTTGCTCACTGAGTGTTTTGAGGTCATTGGTGCGGTCACACTCCATTGGTACTTACTGGTGCTTTAAGTTTCGCTTGGCGTTCTAATGGTGTTTTCTACTCTGGCGAGTAATTAAAATTTCTGAAGCCTAGTGATTCATAAGTTTCTACCAAACTTGAGAAAAGGTGAAAACATGACTGATATAGTATTCGAATACACGTGATAAATTTCAAGTGATAAATTTCCATGAGATTTTCAGGACAAACTACCACTTTTGATTGGATACTTACTAGTGTCATGTGTTCAGTCCTTAGTTTGGTGCAAACTGAATTCTATCAGTCAGTCAAGTTTGCAATGTGGCCAGCACGCCACCAAGTGGCTCACCATCATGGTGCACTCAGGATTGTTGTTATTTGATGGTTGGAGGCAATCGGCCAAAGGAAGCCTTGGACCTAGGTTTCGTGCTTGTTGTCACCTGTCAGCAAGGCGCACCTGCGATCTTGAAGAAACTCATGTCCCTTCCGAGATTCAAACCCGTGTCACTCAGTGCCGCCTGCTGTCAGAGACGTTATCACTGATCTAGCTACCTGTTCAATAACAAAAATCCTGAGTGTACCGTGATGGCGAGCCACCTGGTGGCATGGTGGCCATATTGCAAATTTGACTGACAGAATTCAGTCTGCACCAAAGATAGGACTAGATACACACATATTACACTAGTTACTGACTGGTTTCCAATCAAAAATTACCCGACACAGTCCTACAGGAGGTCAATCCCGAGCCCGAATAGCTCAGTGGTAACGTCTGTGACTGCGGGCGGCACTGGGTGACGCGGATTCGAATCTCAGAAGGGACTTGAGTTCCCTCAGGTATTCAGATACGCCTTACTGATTGGTGAGTGACAACTAACACGAAACTCAGGTCTAAGGCTTCCTTCGGTCGACTGCCTCAAACCATCCAATAACAAACTACCACTGCGTGAGAAATAAAACTAACCACCTGTAGTCTTCAATTTTACAGCTGTTTTTATTATTTCCTTGGGTCAATAGACGTAATCCTGCACTTAGTTTAATTGGCTTTTAAACACCACCAAATGTTGTGCATTTCTCGCAGGTGGCAAAGAAAAAATGTCATGAGGGATTGGTTTTCTCTACAGGTCAGACGGTCATGTGGTTTACAGTCAGTTGGTATTTTACTTGACGATCCTGGACAAAAAGAAACCATCATGGAATAATTTCCGCTGAAAGTTCTGTACATTGTATATATAAACACTCTGCAGAATAAAGCTATTATCAGTGTTATTATTTAGCTATTAAATTCACATATTTTAAACCAATTTGACTGCCCCTGTGCAGCCAGTTACACAGGCCGTACAATTACGCCTGTTTCTCATCGGATTTCCGAACATCACCCTGCGTGACTAAGCAAAGACAAACAAAATCTATTCGTGGCGCTATTCTATCTCATCTTGTGGATACAGAACACAAGACTGATGTTAACGACGCGGCTTTCAATGTCATTTACCGTATACCAACCAACTAATCTTAACTTCGCCTTGAGTTCGACTACTAAATATCGCTGAGACTGGCTGTTGAGATCCACATTAAGACGCTTAATTTATGTGTCCAAAAGAAGCCAGTTCAGACATTGTCCTTACCTTGACCATCTAGGTTCCAATTTTTTGTGAAATTTTCCTTAGTTTTATTTGATATTCTATTTGCTAATATATTTTTTATTATTACTACTTGTGGGCGTTCGTTGGTGGCATAGCGGTTGGGACGCTCGCCGACCATGCACATTGTCCGAGGTTTAAACCCCGGCCGACGCACTCCTTTACATATGATAGAGAAGATTTGTAGCTCAGGTGGATGATTTTTTTGATGTGGTTTTGTTCTCTGAGCTGGATGGTTAGTTTGCGAAGCTTTCATCACCTTACTGGGTGACATCTTCAGCGCATACTTCAATTTGAAGTGAGCTTTTAGATTTCTCCACGAGTTTATTAATCATCTCTCCTGGTGACCTTGGACGTGATTGGTTGTTTGTGTGTGTTTTCACACCTTCTAGGTTACTTGTATTGGAACCGGTTGTTTCTTTGACTTGAACTTTGACCCTTTGTGTGTGAAGTTTCTTTCTTATTGGTTGATAAATTTTGTCTATCTCGATGTGTCTATTGATTGATGATCCACTGGAATGCCAAGTTTCTAAAAATTCTCTAGCATTCTTGTTATTTCCTTTGTCTAACATTTGAACGTTGTCCCAGTCGAATTGATGTCCGTAGTTGTCTGTGTGTAGTGAAATGAGGGAGTGGATATCATGTCTTTTGACGGCTAGCTTATGTTCGTGGATACGAAGACGAAGGGGACGTCCACTTTGGCCGATGTAGTGTTTTTCGCAGTTGTTACAGTTTATTTTGTAGATGATGTTGGTTTTGTCTTCTTTCGGACAATTCGACTGGGACAACGTTCAAATATTAGACAAAGGAAATAACAAGAATGCTAGAGAATTTTTAGAAGCTTGGCATTCCAGTGGATCATCAATCAATAGACACATCGAGATAGACAAAATTTATCAACCAATAAGAAAGAAACTTCACACACAAAGGGTCAAAGTTCAAGTCAAAGAAACAACCGGTTCCAATACAAGTAACCTAGAAGGTGTGAAAACACACACAAACAACCAATCACGTCCAAGGTCACCAGGAGAGATGATTAATAAACTCGTGGAGAAATCTAAAAGCTCACTTCAAATTGAAGTATGCGCTGAAGATGTCACCCAGTAAGGTGATGAAAGCTTCGCAAACTAACCATCCAGCTCAGAGAACAAAACCACATCAAAAAGCACTCCTTTACTTCGCTATGCCAGAAATAATGATGGTAAAGAGGAAAGGTTGTGCATGAGGCTAGCAACCTCATCCTGTAAAAATAGACACTGCTACAGAAACTTCAAGCCACTATCTTGAAGCCATATGTTCCACTGGGAACGTGGAGGAAAGATTATTAATTATTATTAAAGCATCTTTAATAAACTGTAATTGCATTGATCTTACTTTACAAATCGATATTATTTAAAAAACACTAATTGTTAATTCTTTTCCTACCTGTTCATTCTCAATCTTTCCTTTGTTCAACATTATACTACTTGCCATTAGTAAGTAGTATGATTTTTTTATGTTAACTTATAACAATTACATTTGTTTACAACTGCAGTTAAATTACTTGTTCTATTATCATTCTATTAATGTATAGTTCTTATTTTTCTTCTCCTTAAACATTACTTGCTGAATTTACCCTATAGTGTATGCTTTACTATTGAAAGTTGTTTGTTCATATTTGTTCATTCTTTGCTTGGCATTCGCTGGCCGTTTGAGCCAACACGCGGATCGACCTTGACACAGCATTGCTGTTTTTACTTATTGACTGCACAGTGGTTGTGCATTTGACGGCATTTAGCCACAGACACCTCACATTTTGAGGTTTGTATATTATATATCTATTTTTATGTAATAAAGTACCGTATTGCAGAATATCCTGTATTTTGGACTTTACGCGTCACTCTACGTGTGGTTAAATCTATAGTTTGGATTATTGTTTCGGATTTCTTTCGGGAGAAATTCACACTAATATTGTTATTGACTAATAATCTAGAATATTCTCTGTGTATAAACATATGCATATAATTGTAGAGCCAGAAGAGGAAATCATCGAGAAGGATATTCTTCGCTCAATTATTTTGCGTTTTATAGATGTCTGAATGAATATTTTCGCTATATTTTAAAGACTCAATATATTTTCGCAGGTGTGAAAGCAATCTTTCTTCCTCTTTGTGTCTTGTGTGTATGAGCACGTGTAGCAGGAGATAGTGGATTTCCGAAAGATATGGAAATATTTGCGAGAAATCGCCCTAAATGTATACATGTTGAAGTAGGTGGTGGTGGATTAGATAAACGCTGATGAGACTGTTTGATGGCATCAAACGCTGGAAAGGGCCCTAGAGGGGAACACGAATAAGAAACGACGAGTTGAGTGTAGTTTCTAGGGCGACATGGAGGAGATCGTGTGGGGAAGAAGGAGAAATGAGAGCTTATGGAGAGTCTTGGAGTCCGCCAAAAAGTACTACATAGATTAGAATGGAGTTGAGATATGCAGTTGAAGCCGAACATTCCACCCGGAAACTAAGCGAATAATGACAACATACAACACAATAAAATACACAGAATTTCCAATTATCATTCAGGCTTATCCACGAGGTGAAATTGACGACCGTATAATACTCACATAAGGATTACCGCTTTTTTAGTGAGTTACGAGTTTGGAAATCCCCCTAAGGTAAAATCAACTAGGAATACATGTAACAGGAATGACTTAACACCTGTTTCAGTTACCTGGGAAATTCTTCTACCCTTGGGGAAAACTGGGAAGGAAAAAGAAGAAGGAGGACTATAAAATTGGAGTTCTGAAGTCGTACATTTACAATTATTTTATAATTATAAACAGTTAATTGTGTCCGATAGGTGTTATTTTTTGTAATATGTCGAGATTGAAATAGGGACACATGGTTGGAAACAGATGAGCTGATCTCGAATACTGCTTGCCTGCGCCAACAACATTATACGACAACTACCTGTTGCCCGCAACCCGCAGTGCTTAAACGGGAACACACAAGATGTTAGCCATAAAGTATATTTTACAACTATTATTGTGTGATTCAAAATATTACCAAGGTTATGTCAGTCAGTTAGTGGGCGTTATTTTACGTTGGCCAGTTTTGACTGGTTTATTTCCAGACTGGATATTGATCATATTTTGCGTGGGCTGAATTCTTATTGGTTCATTTCAGACTGAAAATAGACCACCATATGAACAGGTTATCCAGGAAATAAGAATACTATTTCGCTTTGCATGATATTTATAATAAATAAAGGAATATATTTAATTACAGATCCATGGCCTTTGGTCAAACTTTATTCCCAGAAATCAATTGATTCTGTTACATTAACTGGTGGAATGGGGATCAACTCTTGGTCAAAAAACATTCAACCAATCAAATTCCTGCAAACTTACATATGGAAATAGATCTGATGCGTATTAGCGACTGGCAGTTAGTTAATGGTCAATAAGCTCACCTTGTAACCTAAAGGTCGTGGGTTCGAACTCAGGTGTGTGGGTACTGCTCAAGAGTGTGCAACTAGGACAAAACAGCTGTCCAGTACTCGATGGTTTCCCAAGGTTTTCTAATTGTTGTCAGCTTGTGGTAAAACCTGTAATTCTTATTCAGACTGTGGAACCTGTTTGGATTTTATTTATTTAATTTTAGGTGGAGTTTGTGACAGATCAGAATCAGCCAGAATATCACTCAAATACACTGAAGAACACTGGAAAACCTTCTTATTGTAACCCTGGAACTATTCAGGAGTGTGCATCGATGACATCATCAGCTGTGGAACCAAGAATGGGCAAATTTTAAATTCAACCATTGAGTTGGAAAAATTTAAACTTATGACATAACCCCACTGCCTGGCACTTTATCCCTTTCGAAATAACTTTGATTTTTGTGACGAAATCTTGAAGTTCTCATGCAGATGTCCTACAATTTGTAAGTAATACGAAGTGGAACAGTGCAGGAAAGATTACCTTAGAGCAACAGAAGTTTATGTATACAATCTGACCTTAAAAAAATCAGTTACTTACTTGTTACACCTTTCAACTGAACATTTCTATACTGTTTCCCTAGAGTACCGTTAACTTTTGTCCGCGTTGTCTGCGTAGGACCCCTTGTCAGTCGAATATTTTGTGTTCCATGGATAGCATAAGTTACTAGGAGTAGCAAACAAACTAGAATGATAATCACCAGTCCAATACCTAAACCTGTAATCATTTCAGCACTTGTATGATATGTACTCACTGGTTCTGATTCACCATTATTCATTAAAATTTGAAAATTTGATATTACTCCATCGACGCTGTCATCATTGTTAACACTGAGATCATTTGACTTGGAAAACAGGGAGGAGGGTGAGGATGACGAGGATGACTGTATTGTATTGGCTGACTGAGTATATTTCATTTTAGAGGTAGACGACAATGAATTCGAATGAGGATACATGTGGATACCGTCAACTGTCAATAATTTTGACTGTAAGTTATTACTAAAATGAATCCTGTTTAACTTATCTTTATATTCTTTATTATTAGAATGGCTGATATTGATGAATCGATCAAGTGAGTTTAAATTATCCCCTGTATTATTATTATTGATTGATTGACTGTTTAATTTCGTCTGTTTTATCCCTTCGCCTCCTGGTCCTCCTTCTTCTCCTTCTTCATGAGTAGTAATATCAATAAATAAAAAGGCATAATTTCTTCTCGGTGGAATTCCACAGTCTTCCGCGAATATAATCAAACATTCTGGTAGCTTTTGTAAATTATCTACATTGATTGCCTTATTGAGACGTATTTCACCTGAATTTTGATGTATAATAAAATAATCACTTGATGATTGATTAATTCTATCAAGTTTATTGATTAATTGATTCGAATTGTGCGTTAACTGCCAGTAGCCTTTATAAACATCAAGTTTATAAACAACTTTACCATTATCCCCTTCATCTGGATCAATAGCCTGTACTGTATAAATCAATGCACCAGGATTTGAATTATCCACGCGAAGAATATTGATTCGTTCACTTGGTATATTAGATATTAAACCTTTAGGAATGCTTAGCAATGATTGACTGGTGTTTTTACCAATAAAATTTGAATTTGAGCTCATATTTAAATTATGCAATGAAGGTTTTAAAAATCGAGGTGAATTGTCATTAATATCTCTCAGACTGACAGTAACTGTAGCTGTCGACGATCGTGTAGGATTTTTGCCTAAATCACTCACGATTATTGGAATTTCATAGACTGGAGTTGTTTCACGATCTAAAAAATAACTAGGAATGTCATCACCCCTATTATCAGCGGCAGCAGTGTTATGGATTTTCGTCGATTGGACGAAAAGCATACCATCCGAACGCAGGATCCATTTCGGTCGATTATGCAGACCATTCGAATTGTTTATCCCTAGTTTAAAGTTAATTTGACCATTTTCACCAATATCCTGATCTTCACCGGTCAGACGTCCTACAAATATTTGATAACTACCCTGATAGTGTTTGGAGGGGATTGTAGAACTACCACCACTGCTACCACTAGTGGTCAAATGGTCTATCGTTGTGCCTTCTTCATCGATCCAAAATGTTGTATTTCCTGTCAGTACCGGTGTATTGTCATTGACATCGCCTACCTGAACACTGATCCATGCATGCGATGTCCTACTCGGATATTCTTCATCATAGGCTATCACAGGGATTAAAAATGTATCTCTAGCCTCTCTATCCAATGGTGTACTTGTTGTTTTAATTGATCCAGATTTGCTTTCTAGTTTAAAATATTTTTGAATTAAATTCAAGACCATATCAGTATAATTTTGTATAAATTGATCGGTTGATTGAGCAAATCGATAAGCTATATGATTCTCCTCATCTTTATCGATAGCATTCAATTTAATTAATTCTGTATTCTCAACGGAGTTTTCAAGAATTTTCACTTCATATCGTAATCTGTCAAATTGTGGTCCATTATCATTTTCATCTAAAATATTGATTTTCAGCAATTTTGTTGATGAAAGACGTTTTAAGGAAGTTGGTGTTGGTAGAGACTGACTGCTTGCGAATATTGATGAGCTATCGAACTTATCAACTTGATCATGACAAGTTAAATAAATAAAATAGGTACTTTTCAGTTCACGATCTAAACTTTCTCGTGTCATTAATATGTATTCAGTATCATGACGTCCCAGTACATTTAATGCTGCTGCTGATGTTTGTGAGGTGTATGCCGATTGGGCGGTTTGTTCGTTATTGTTATTTGATACAATAGCGGCTGTCGTAGGGATTGTCTTGTCTTCAGTTGAATGTACTCCTATGTTGTGCAAGCCACTGGATTTTTCTAAGATGAATGCTAGATCGATACCTAAAGGCTTCCTGTTGAAGTTCTCTACTTCACTTAAATAACATTCAACTTCTCCTGCAGTCCCAGTATCACGATCTCTGGCCGACACCTGCAGGACAATATAGAGAGAAAATTAAGCATAGAATATTACACTACTGAAATAGTGATGAGTAGATTAGCTGTGAGTCCCAAAGGCATCGATGTGTGTCATCAATACAGGCAAAAAACTTACTTATTTACAGTGCTGTTTCAACTGGACTTACAGGAAGCGTTTATCAAGGCTGCATACCGGTTGAATAATCACATATAAGTGATGTTTCATCCCCATTCAGGACTCTTCATCCGTACGCACACATGACCCCAGCTAAAAGGATCGAATCCATGACCTTCATGTTACAAGGCGAGCTTGTTGAGCATTCGGTCACTGAGATGGAATCCAATGGCCTGTGAATTGCAACTTCTGATGATCTTTGGTGACTGGTTACAGGATAAAGATGGTTAAAATTCTAGTGAGAAGTCATGACCGACTGGGTTCCATGAGGTCCCGTGTAGAGACATTGACTGTTGCACTACCTGTATCGTGAATTGATAGAAGTCAGAATTCGCGGTTCACAGAATTCCGGTCCAAGTTGATAAATCACCAGTTTGCCTGACTTCGTAACCTGAAGGTCCCGGCTTCGATCCCTGGGGTGTGGGGGTGAGGGCTACTGAACATCCTGAAGTGTCGATGAGACAGTCATCCGGTACTCCATGGTCAAAGCTGAGACAGATCAAATCCCTATCAAATTACTCTTGAAAACGTTGATCTCAAAAGGCGTAAGAAGAGTCGACTGAAACAAAAAGCAAAAGAAATCTCGGAGATCAGAATCAGGTCCGCATTTGTTTATTTTCGACATAACGAAGGAAAACAGAGAGAATATCACAACAACGATAAGCTGCACACTGAATTATTTACAATAACCTACATCCATGATCCGATTCCCATTTTCCTTCTGATTGGTTGAACCGAAATGTTCGGCTTCTTGTGTGGATGCTTCAACGACGTGGGATGCGCAATTCTTCCTACTTCGGGCTGGTGAACGAGATATAATTACATTCCACTTATGAGTAATGGTGATTCGACTGAGGCTCGAACCCATCACTACCCATTGTTTAAAACACCAAAGCGTTACCCACTGGACCATTTAAGCCACGAGGACCATCTCTTGTGCAACGGCTGTCAGTTATTTTATTTTTTTAGATTCACTTTTGATTTTCCCGTTGACTGACTGGAACTAAACGTTCCACCTCTGCTTTGGAGTTTGAAACGATGGGTACTGGGTTTGAACCTCAGTCGGAACATCATCACTCACTAGGAAATGCAGGTACATCTGACAGATGACGACTCCTAGATAGGACAAAATGTGCATTCTGGATCCCACTGCTAATCACCATCCACCAAAATTACGTCGAAATAGTTAACCAGCTACCATTACTCAACTGGCTTTTCACACAACTTGATATTATGTGCAACAACCTGCACTGATTAGGGTTCCTGAACTGATTTCGAAACTTTTTCTGGTAAACTATAGTACACTAACGCTTCGTCTCAAGGAACGTACTATTGATTGATACGAGAAGTAGGAAATTACTACTCTCATTGACCAGTAGTGTTTTTTTCCTCGGTCAAGTCGAAGTGATATTTGACACCGGACTGCCGTTCCGCTGGTTTGCTATGCAGCTCATCGCCGGTGTAATCGACTCGACCGATTTCAGGGAACAGATTGTATGTACAATCATGCTACACCATCTAGTTTCTTGTTTGCCAACTGTAGCACCAAGCAGATCATATAGTATGATCTGAATATTTCAAGTTTCCAAGTGGAAACTGTGGAGTAGTGTGATTTGTGAGTCCCGAATTCGGTCGTACCAGTAGGCTGCTAGTGCAACTACCTAATGTTGAGAGAACTGACGCGCTTAGGGCCTACAAAATTTTAGAAGATCTAAAATTCGAAAGGTAAGACAGACCTTCATCACTGTGGAATCAGTTTGGAAATCAAAAGCATTCCACACAAAGTACAAAATTTAAATTTTCAACAACACCTTTGAAGTCAGTCAGTTCCTCTTGGCTCACATGTCACCAGAAGCACTTTTAATAGATCACTGAGGATTCTTATTAACTGCTGAATTCTGTAGCTGTGTGCTGAAGGTCATGTGTTGGGCATAAAGAGTCAGTAACAAGAAACCCTGAGGGGACGAACTAATCAACAGCTTGTTGTTCGAAAAATGTAGAAAATGTAGATGGATTAGTCACACACACACACACACACTAAGGAGATCGCTGCATGATATCACGTGCAGGCCATCTCTCTAGTGGGACCCAAATAAAAAACAACGAGTTGAGCGTTGGACCAGTGGTGAATTGGAGGAATAAGCAGGGTGAAATGGAGACGTTCTGCTGAAACCCTACGTTCCACTCGGAATCCGAGGGAATAATAATAAACTGACAGTTGGATAAAAATAGGATTGCCTTGTATAGCTTCTTTATGACGAACTACCGCTTAGTAAGTAAGCACATAATTTAAGTTCAAACTGTAGATAGGTGTCTTACCTTTGCAATGAAAGTTCCCGCTGGTGAATTCTCTCTAACATTCAATATCTGAAATCGTCCAGGACTAAAATTATCTAATAGTGTACTTTGTTGTTTCTGCAACTGATGATAATAACGATTGGCAAGATTAGTCGGTTCAATTCCACGTATACTTATACTCGGCGCCTCATCATTCACATCGACAACTTGTATTGTAAGCGTCAGGGTACTACTCAACTGTGGACGACCAAAGTCGACAGCCACTATAGGCAGAATATAAGCATGTCGGCTAGTTTCATAATCCAACTGGTGAATCAGCGTTATCCAACCGTCTTCTTTACCAAGACGAAAATAATGCTTTACAACAAGATCAGTTTCTTGAGCTATAAAATAATGTACAGTATTGTGTGGATAATGTTTTATTGATTGATGGTGCTGCTCCTGATAATGCTGATATTGATAAGGATATTGATTAGTATTTTTGCTGGTGAAAGTTGAAAAATCAATTGAATCAATATCTATCGCTTGTACACAATATATTCGACTGCCAACATTAATATCTTCTGGTATTCCAAGGATTAAATAATTTATATCAGATAACTGAACACTGCTTGCCACTTGTCCTCCTCCAACTCCTCCTGATGTTGCCCCTCCTCCTTGCGCACCATTCTCAACTTCTGAATAATGATATGAAAACGATTTAATTTGAACTTGTGGATGAAATCGATTTGAATGTCCAATATATTTTGTATCACTATTCAATGTGAATTGATCATTGAATCCATATTGTAGTGTTGTTATATTTATACCTAAATTAAATATTGGAGGATATTCATTCACTTCTTTTAGCTGAATACTTATAGGTAATTGTGATGTATGACGATTTTGAAATTGTTCTGATTGATCGTAGGCTAGTAGAATTAATCGATATTCTGACTTATGTTCACGATCTAAGGTCAAATGACTTATTAAATGCAGTGATTTGATATTTCTTGGTGTTGAATGTAGTGAACTGTGACCTGTTCTCGATGGTTCGACAGTATGATTTACCAGTTCAAAGTATTCAGCATCTGGACCCTGAGAAGAAAAAGAAAGGAAAGAAAAAAGGGGGAGAGGGGGGGATTAATTCACAAGTATATCGTTATCTATAGTAATAATAGCTTTGTTCCGGACAGTAATTATATAATGTACAGCATTTTCAGTGGAGTCTACTACGTCAGTTTACTCTTAGTTCAGGATCTTCAAATGAGTATAAATCGACAGTAGACCATGTCTCGTAGCTCTGTCTGACCTAAAGCGCAGACTAATCCATCACGATATCTATTTTTTTCTGTCGCCTTGGAGAAATGCACAACATTTAATGGTTGACAGCCGATTAAATAAAGTCTAGGATTACATTTTCAGACCCAAAGATATAACTCACCTACAGTTATCTTATATATATATATATTGGAATATGTTGTCACTCATGATTAGGTTTTTTCTCAAGTTCAGTAGGAAATGTCTGGCCGGGAATAAACCAGCTAAGAGCCAATTGATTAAAAATATGTAGGGGTAAATGGAGATGGAGATGGATCGAATATACGCTTAGGAGACTGTCGAATGACATTGCACTCAACAGACACCATATCTCGAGTGGAATCCAAATGGGAAGTGACAAGTTGGTCGTCAATACGAGGAGGACATGTTGAAGATCGTTTTGAGAGTGAGAGTAGATTATAAATTGTGGGTGATCGTCGGTTTGGTCAGCTGAATAAGTCAGCAGAGAATAGAACAAAGTGGAGGTGTGTTGTTTAAACGCTATATTCCACTTAGGACCTATTTCTTAATTTTTATTTTATTCCTCTATATATGTCCAGTGGAAAATAGGGTTCCAGGCTAGATCTTTTAAGTTTCAGTAGCAGCAGTGCTTATTTTTACGATATGGGGTTGCTAGACTTGTGTCCACCCTTCCCTCTTTACTAGTCTTATTACTGGATTAGCGAGGTAAAGGAGAGTGCACAGGCCGGGGATCGAATCCTGAACCCAATGAGGTGTGGTTAGCGAGAACTCTACCGCTGTGCACTTGGAACCTAAGGGGATAATAATCACAGTAACTGAAGACTGCAGGTAGTTCTACTTCTCAGGCAGTGGGGGTCTGTGCTAAAAACCTCACGGAAAGTTGTCTGATGCACTGGAATACGTTACCATCCAGGAGTTTGCTTTCTCTCAAGTTTAGTAGAGAGATTTTCAAATTAGCAGGTTGTAGACACTTTAGATGCTTACGAGAGTAGAGAATGCCATTGGCGGTGATATATATATATATATATATATATGAGATTTCACAGCTTAAGAATGATATCGCTGAAAAGTGTAACTCTTCGCTGAATGTCTTTTTTTAATATGACATCAACCTTATTCAACAGCTGTACGACAACGGCGGCACATGTTAAGTGATCCACAACGGAAAAATCAGTGAGGCGTTTAGAGTAAACACAGGAGTCAGACAAGGGTGCTTGCTTATTATCACCAACGATATTCCTGATTGTGGTGGATTGGATTATGCGTCAGGCAGTGTGGTAAACGAGAAGACGGGGATATCCTGGACCGACGTGAAGAACCTAGAAGACCTGGATTTCGCGCGGCGCTGATTTATGCTTGATGTCACACAAAATCGAAGACTTAAAAGCGAAAACCGACAAACTGGTCGAAGAAGCAGCCGGCGAAGACAGGACTCCAGGTGAACATAGACAAGACGGAGGTTATGAAAATAACCAACCAACAACAGCAACAACATCCAACGTCAATCACCATCAACGGGAGGGATTTGAAAGAGGTTACTTCATTCACTCACTTATCTAGGGAGCATTTTCTCAACTACAGACAGTCAGAACGGGCGAGGATGTCAAATTGAGAATCGAGAATCGGGAAGGCAAGCGAGAAACACATTCATCAACCAACCTGAAACCAATCTGGAAATCTTCGTCACTCAGCCAGCATCAACAACAAAATTCGGTTGGATTTTCAGTACAAACAACGTCAAGTCAGTCAGCTCTTCTATACGGATGAGAAACTTGGCGGGTGGGTCACAAAGAATATTTCCACCAACAGCCTGTTGCAGAAGTTACCTTTATCAACAACTGCCTTCGCTCTATACTGAAGAATAGATGGCCGGGCCGAGCCGGAAAGAATCACCAACATGAACTTATGGCTGGGAACAAACAAAACAAGAAGCAATCGCCACCCAACAAATATGCAGGAGAAAGTGGAGATGGATTGGACACTCGTGGCTGAGGAGGCCGCCACTGGGTGACATCGCGAGCGCGTCAGGCCATTGCTCGATTGGAACCAGGCCGAAAGAGAATCGGCGAGTGGGACGTCGGTGTAAGGGTGACATGGAGGAGATCGTGTGAAGAGGAGTTGAAAGAGTATGGACTAACATGGATGGGGGTGAAAAGTACAGCAGAAGGAAGAGAGACAAGTGGCAAGTGGAGACATGCAGTTGAAGCCCTATGTTCCATTAGGAACCCAAGAGAGCAATACTACTACTACTACTACTAATAATAATAATAATAAGAAGAAGAATAATGGTGATTTTCGAATTTGTTTATTTTTTTCTTCAGAAACAACTGCCCAGTTTTGGTCTCAGTCGTCGTAGCTATACATAAACTCTTTTGTTACTTCCATTGAATTCTGTTCACCACATAAAATCTAACATCCTTACAACAGTACACACATATGCACACACAGACACACACACACAGACGCACAGAAACTTGGCATTCAAACACAATAGCCATACTGCATTATTAGTCAACTCGTATTATACATATAATATATGTAATCTTTCGTAATCTAATTTTTCTATCTACTTCCATAAACTGACTAACTAACTAGTTAACTAATCATAAAAAAGTATTTTGTATTATTGATTTATTATTATTATTATTGATTTTCTTGCTTACTAATTAAAGATTTAATGTAAATGTCAACATTATGCTTGTTGTTTGTCTGCTGTAATTAAGTAAAATGGCGAGACCGCTTAATTTGTAGTCAAGTTACAAAAAATGCAGACATTCAATGAGATTAGTCTTGTGATCGACAGAAAGATGAAGTAGCAATAGCTCCTCCACTTGGTCCATTGCTCACCTGTTGCTTTATGACATCTCTTGAGACAAATATCCTCCTCATCCTCTTCCTCGAAGTCTACAGGCGGTATATGGATGATATCTTTGCACCAACAGAAGACAAGATGCAGAAGCTGAGGTATATTTTTCACTAATCATACCGCTGGTTATAAATCTACAGTTTATATTCATTGACCAATCACTGGGCGTGTGATTTCGGTTTCCATCAAATGACGTTAAAATAAAATATTCAAATAGATATATGTAATATTCTGTTGCTAAAGCCGAATGTTCCCTAGACAGAAGCCTACAAAGATCAATCTACCGCAAGCCTAACTGTAATGGACAGAATATAAAGTAGCACAGTTTTGTCCTAATGAGGAGAAAAAGAAATCCCTACGTCTGTCTTGCGACGTGAATCCATCACATGCATGCACTGAAGACGAATTATGAATAAGGAATTGGAATCCTTTGGAAAACTTTAATGAAAAATGGATAACTGACCTCCTTCATCGAAAAACGTCTAAAGAGAAAAAAGACCATTACCCCAAGAAACCTGGATGTACCGAACAAACGACTGGTATTCAAATATTGGTTTGTAGAGATTTGTTTGATTGGTTACAGGGATTCATCATGAGCTGACATTAGTTAGAGAACCATTGGAAAACCTGAGAGTACTGGACAGCTGTTTCGTCAGCCTAGTTTGGGACTCTTCAGAAATAGGCACCCACCACAGGGGTTCGAACCCAGGACCTTTTGGTTACAAGGCGAGCTCGTATACCATTAAGCCACTGGGACCAGTAGGGTGCAGCAGGTCGGTTGTGAGGACAAATACTCGCCGAAGACATTGGCTAGCAGTCGCGCTATGTAGTGAATTGGCAGAAGTTAGAATTCATGGGCCATTAGATCGGGTCCCAGTGGCTTAATGGTATACGAGCTCGCCTTGTAACCAAAAGGTCCTGGGTTCGAGCCCCTGTGGTGGGTGCGTATTGTTGAAGAGTCCCAAACTAGGACGAAACAGCTAGTTGTCCAGTACTCCCAGGTTTTCCAGTGGTTCTCTAACTAATGTCAGCTCATGATGAAATCCTGTAACCAAACGACTACTAATTGTAAGTCTGAAATTCAAGGAAGCTACGATTAATGAGCTTTCCTGAAGTAATTCGAAGAGCATTACTATTTGATGGTGCTCCACAAATGCTCTTATTCACCAAAACATCAACGGACAAGATCCCTGTGTTGGCGACCACAATGTTTGCTTACCAATTCATTTGCTGCTGTGAAGCTTAGCACGTAAACTGTATTAGAAGGACATTGTCTAGACGTGCTTATGACTATTGACCAAAATGGTTGTCAGATGGAGAACGTAGAATAGTCAACAGATCAATTCTGAAGAAGATTATTACTCCTGGTCGTGTAGCATCATCAGAGACTACTTTCAGAGTTATATATATATAAGGTACGACTAAGCAGTTTGAAAGGATATGAGTATAAAACTTGGGCACTGTGGTAGAGCATCACTCCATTATAGATAAGATTTTATTTTGATAAAATCACACAGTGTTTTACAGTTATATTAACTGATGACGTTTGGAGAACAAACTGTTGCTCATAATTATATCAATCATACCTAACCTGATATGATAATGAGCAATAGTTTGTGCTCAAAACGTCATCAGTTAATATTACTGTACAACACTGTGTGATTTTCAAGTATTGGTTTGTAGGGATTTGATTGGCTTCAGGATTTCATCATGAGCTGACATTAGTTAGAGAATCCCTGTGTGTGCGTACTGTTGAAGAGTCCCAAACTAGGACGAAACAGCTAGTTGTCCAGTACTTCCAGGTTTTCCAATGGTTCTCTAACTAATGTCAGCTCATGATGAAATACTGTGTGATTTATCAAAATAAAATCTGATCCATAATGCAGTTTGAAAGGATTTCGCCTACATATTCTTCATGCAGCTGAAGTCT